AAATTGTCTTACAGTGATGATTGAGATCTCCTACTTGTGTATCATGGTGCAGAGTCCTGATGACAGACATAGGGTCTTCTTGTAGCCACCCACTTAACCCAGGGTAGCACTACCTACTCAAGTCAGTTGATGTAGGTCTCTGTGTTGAGTCTATGAGGCCCTGTGGGAAGATGAATGGAGACATGACATTGCCATCACTAGTAATCATTCCAAACACCTTCGTAATCATCATTAGACTCATCCAACGCTTTCTGAATCTGCTGCACTGTTCGTATTGGAGCTTCTGGTGTGAATTCCAATCATTACAGATTGCCGTTTCCAAATTTCTGGCAGAGTGAATTGCATCATGGTGCTCAACTGACCTTACTGTACTGTGCAGTTGACAAAACCAAACAAACAATGTACATGCACAAAGTTAAAAAAATAAAATGGTGTCAATTTACCCGTCACACCCTGTATATATATGTAAATTTGGTTAAATTCCCAGATCAATTCTGTGGACAAGACAAATTGGTATAAAATGAGAATTGGAAAAAAAATCTTAGATTTTGCCGACACGTTTTGTCTTCTGACTTTTTCAAAACATTTCAATTTCATTTTTGCCTTGAATAAGTTGGAAGATAAAATGCATCAGCAAACTCTAAGATTTTTTTTTCCAATTTTCATTTTATACCATATGTAAATTTGTTGATTATTTTTTGTTTACTTTTCCAATATTTCTAAAGTGGTCAAACATGGGAAAATATATTTACAAACTGGAAAATCAGAAAAATTATCAAAAACATTGAAATAGTAAATATAAAAAAACTTTTGTCATTTTTTTAATCAAGCATGTATAAAGTTATTTAAATGAAAAGTTACTGCCCAAATACACCCAATATTCTAAACAGACACCTCAACAACCTGCAAAGCAACAATATCCACACAACATATAATTGAAACTGCAGAAAAAACAAACTCTGCCCATTAAATAGGAGATATATGTCTTAATTGTTAGTTTATAAAGCTGAAATCAAATGACAATGAGGTCAAGTTTTATGTGGGCTCTGTAGAAAATCATTGGAAATTGCACTCCTACCACCACCAAATGATATTAGGCAAAATCAAATATAATAATGGCATTGCCCTCTCTAAATTTTTCTGGAAACTGAAAAGTGAGAATAAAAACCCAATTATCACCTGGGAATCAGTACTGAAACCTTCAGTGGGAAAGGCAACAGATGCAACCTCTGTCTTTCTGAGAAATTAATAATCCTGAAAAATATAAACAATCCTAATGTTTTAAACAAAAGAAGTGAATTAATGAGTACCCACCTACATAGATCCAAATTTCTACTCAAACACATTGACCCAGTTTAATATAGTTTAGCCAAACCTGTGGATCACATATATTAGTATTGATACTATTTATTTTTATTAATATTTTTACTTTTTGCTACCTTTACTGTATAACTATAGTTAATATTAGGCTGTAATGCATTTAACTTTTTTCCTAATCCATTATTTCCATTCTCTTATCATTATAATTTTTTATATATGACCATTATTATTATTATTTTCTCTTTTTGTCTTACCTTTAGTTTTACTGTTAGTAACAAGCTTATTTATTTACTTATTTTTATTTATTATTTTTTATTTTATTTGCTTTTATTATTTTTATTTATTTATTAATCTATTTGTTCTATTTATTTACATGTTTCTATTTATATGGCTTATATTTTATATTATTTTATTTTCATTGACATGTACTATTTTTATTTTTATTAGTAATTTAATTTTATTTTATCATAGCATACTTTATTATTATTGATATCACTACTTTTATGTAGTTTCATAATATTAATATTATTAATTACTTTATTAATTTTCATGTAAGAAATAGAGTTGACCCCCTTGATTTCCAAACCATGTTTCTTATTTGGTTCTTTTGATAATAATGACATCTCTTCAAATTAGAATCTATAATTCTTATTTCCAACCTTATTTTTAGCAACAATAATTATCCACCCCAACAATTAAATACCTCATCATAACCAGAAATATTTAAAAAAAAAATGGTGTTAACACCAAAAATTGCACATGACAAATGTAGAAGGTATGAAACTCTGAGTTGGGCAATCAATGTAAGGCATTTCATACATATATATATATATATATATATATATATATATATATGCCAGCTAGATGTTTTCCATAAAAGCTGTCTGTGTGCAATCTGTGGAGTTAAGCTTCAAGATAGGACATCTGATATAGACCTGTTTAACAGGTGTAATATTGGAGGAATCGAGATTTTTATCATACAGTCTCAGTTACGGTGGACTGGTCATGTCTTGAAAATGTCTGATGACAGGATACCCAAGATCAAGATCCTAATGTACAGCCAGTTAGATCAGGGCTACAGGAATGTAGGACGCCCATGGCTAAGATACAAAGACAAGCTGAAAAGCAACTTGCGAGCAGTCAATACACCTCATGACACCCTTGAGCTCTTAGCTTTGAAGCAGGTAGAATGGAGATCAACGTGTTTTAGTGGACTCAGCAATTTTCAATCTGCTTGTCTGAATCATCTTCAAGAAGCGAGAGCAAGATCTAAAAGGTCAGCCAATCTCATCTTGCTCCATATGTGGACTCCTTTGTAAATCACTAGTGGGTCTTAAATGCCACTTAAGATTATCACAAAAACTTTCATAACTGAATCAATTAAGTTGTCAGATCATCATACATCGAAACCAACGGGAGAGTCCATTATATATATATATATATATATATATATATATATATATATATATTTGTGGGGTAGAACCTTTCTTTCATCTTTCATTAAATATGGCTGACAAGGAAGATTTAATCAAATTTTTTATTAAGATTTTCCATCACCCTTACTTTTCTCCATTTTGTAGGAATAGGGAAGTACAGAAATATTCCATTGGCTTCTTCTATAGCCATTTTCCCAGCTGCTGAAAATGGATTTAGAAATGACTAAGATCTCTTGGGACAATAAAAAGTGCATTTTTCTCAAATGTTCAGGTTGGTTCAGGTTTCATGAAAATAAGTCAACATACTTTTTAATAAATAAATGGAGCATCTATATATATATATATATATACTAAAACTAACATTTAAACTGATAAAATACACATACACACACAGTACTCAATATATATATATATATATATATATATATATATATATATATATTTTGTCTATTTAGGCACCAATCCTACTTTCATGCACATTTCATTGAATACGACAGACAAGGTGCTTTTATTTAGTTTTTTATACAATTTCTCATGCAATCTAATAATATTTTTCTTTTCAGATGATAAATTATATAAAAAATAAAATGAAAAATAAAAGGCTAAAGATAATAGAAGCCTTATTAATAAAAACGAAAAAACCAACACTTAATAATATTAACTTTGAAAATGGACACAATATCTTGACCGTGTTTTGAAAAATGAAAACATTTTATAAAACATACATGCAACAAACTATTTCTTATTTGACAGTAAAAATATTTCATTCTTGAAAATGGCTAAATGTATAGCTGAAAGCGCTCAGATAAAAAGAACATTCGGACAGTTTTTATATAATTTATCATCTGAAAAGAAAAGAATTATTAGATCGCATTAGAAATTGTATAAAAAACTAAATAAAAGCACCTTGTCTGTCACATTCAATGAAATGTGCTTATGTACTACTCTTTGGTAAATCGAATCAAGTTCTATCAGTCACTGTGTGTTTATCTAAAAATAAATATGCTTAAATTCACCTTCATCTGTGCTGCGCACCAATGGCTCAGTGGTAGAATCCCGACTGATGCCAATTCAGTCGGGTTTCAATCGTAGCTAGAGGCAACCAGACGTCTAGCCACACTGATGAGCTGTGATACAGCGAAACATTCTGTCTGTAGATGACAATATATATATATATATATATATATATATATATATATATATATATATATATATATAGTGCTAAAGATAGAATGTATATTAATCTTCATGGCTTAAATATTACATTGAAACATGAAACAGACTGTTGCTACATGGCGTTGACCTAAATGTCCACTTTTAAATTTATATAGACATATATATATCAGTCATAATTGATTTAGTGAGACATGCTTTCTAACCAATTATATTGAAGTACTCAATATACTGGATGTAACAGCAAAATTGTCCAGTTGTTAGTTTAAGATTTGTAATATTGTATCTTAGAAATGATTAAAGATATTTTACTGGAATTCTTTGAGGTTTTTATATGGTAGCATATAGGGGGAGGAGGAGTGACCAGACCATGACCTATTTAAATGGTTAACTGAACGGAAGTGATATATTGAAATGGGAGGGGAGTAGGGAGAAAAGAAAAAGGAAAAAGGAAGAAGAGGGTGAGGGAGAGAGAAGTAAAGAGAAAGAGGCTGTAATTGGGTTTTAGCAATTTATGTAAAGAATAGATTTTAATGCTGGATAGAAATTTAGACGTCTAAAAAAAAATTTATTTGATGTTTGCTATCAGTTTAAATATTTAATTTTTTAAACAAATAGTTTAAGGATTTAATATAAGTTAAATATTATATATATATATATATATATATATATGTTGCAAATTTTATATATGTGTGCATGTGTGTGTGTGTGTTTGTCTGCATGTGTAGAGGAGTGCATGCCTGTTTACAATATTGTACAAGAAAGCGTTTGCCAAACACACCTGTTAAAATTGGAGAAAACATTAATGGTGAACATGATTCTCTTGTGAGGTAAGAATATATTCTCTTGTGGAGATAAACTAAATTATCTTTAACAAGCTGGAGGTTTAGATTCTGTTACTTTCGCAATCTTGTTAATGCAAATCAAATTATCGCAGATTTTCGTGGCTTATGTGGAACAGTCAGTAAGACAGTTTAACATGGATTCTGATGTATTAAAACCTTAAAAAATGTTATCAATGTCTATGTACTCCAGCTTACAGAGTTAAATCATTCATTGAAAATTAGGTGGTCAGGATAGATAGATAGATAGATAGAGAGAGAGAGAGAGAGAGAGAGAGAGAGAGAGAGAGAGAGAAATCAACATTGTTGGTGAAGAAAGTGGAGAGTAAATCCTCTGATGGTTGTCAAGATAGATAGGTAGATAGATATAAAAAGACTGAAATAGATAGGTAGATAGATATAAAAAGACTGAAATAGATAGGTAGATAGATATAAAAAGATTGTAATAGATAGGTAGATAGATATAAAAAGATTGAAATAGATAGATGAATAGAAAAAGACTGAAATAGATAGGTAGATAGATATAAAAAGACTGAAATAGATAGGTAGATATAAAAAGATTGTAATAGATAGGTAGATAGATATAAAAAGATTGAAATAGATAGGTAGATAGATATAAAAAGATAGGTAGATAGATATAAAAAGATTGAAATAGGCAGATAGATATAAAAAGATTGTAATAGATAGGTAGATAGATATAAAAAGACTGAAATAGATAGATAGATAGATATAAAAAGACTGAAATAGATAGGTAGAGAGATACAAAAATGCTGAAATAGGAAGATAAATACAAACATCTTAATAGATGGATAAAAAACTTAATAGTTAGAAAAAAAACTGAAATAGGTGGATAGATATGAAAGACTTATATTAAAGATAGGTATATAGATAGATTCAAATAGACTGAAATAGGTAGATAGATACAGAATACTTAATAGATAGATATACACGGAGATACAAAAAGATTGAAATAGATAGATAGGTAGATTGACATGAAAGACTTGATAGATAGATAGAAAGAAAGAATGAACCACACTGTGATAGGGGGTGAGAGAAAAGAGAGATTATCAAATTTATATACAGAGAGAGGGACAAAAACAAATTGAAAAACAACTTGAAGCATCTCAACTTTTATCTAAAAACCTGGGAAGCCCAAGCATCAAACCATAATCTGTGCTGTAAGACCTGTTTCATTAGGTTAAAGTGTTTTGAAGATAGTAGACTGAAACACGATGATCAGCTCTGTCAAGCTCTGAAGCAGACGCCATCAAAATCCTACTTTTTTTTGGATGTTAGGAACTCCATTTTATAATTATAGTTCAATAGGATAGTTCCCCAGTGCCGCAGTCTATTCACTGTATGTCTGGGAACACCATTTTTAATCCATATATGGACAATAATGGATGATGGTCTGTCTTTTATATGAATTCTCTAGCATGTATGAATTTATAAAACTTTTTCTTTTCAATCTGGCTGTAACTTTTTTGAGCTGCAGTTAATGTTCTTGAAGCATCAGCTATTGGTTTAGTTTTTCCGTCCTTATATTTGTGTAGTATCACTGCTCAGATACCTGAATCACTTGCATCTGATGCAACCACAATCTTTAATTTAAGGTTAAAATGAGCTAGTGACAAATCTAATGTTAAGACTTTCTTGATCTCTTCAAGAGCAGTTTGACATTTATCTATCCAATTCCATTTCACATCTTTCTTCAGCAGACTATTCAATGGTGCTTTTAATTCATGCTTGTTTGGTATATATATATATATATATATATATATATATATATATATATATATATATTATAAATTAATTGATTTAAAATGTTTTTTTTCCACCACAGTTCTAACCATGTTTCAAAAATTGGAAGCTAAAAGCCACAAATTTAATTTTGTAATTAAATTAAAGACATTAATCTATAATATTAATGCTCTGTAAATTTACATCGAGCACTATTTTGTAAAAATAAAAATACCTATAAGAACACTGGATTATATATCTTACTGTTCTTTTTTTTATATATATATATATATATATATATATATATATATATATATATATATATATATATGATGATAGTATCTAGTAAACCCTAAAAATGCTTGTACCTTTGTTACATTTGTTGGACAGGGCATGTCTTTTATTGTGCTCATCCTTGAAGAATCGAGTCTACCATTTTCACCAATAATTTGTCCTAGATATTTAAGTCTAGACATAAACAATTCACATTTTCCTTCACTGATTTAAAACCATATTCTTTGATTTTCTCAAATACTTCCTTTGCATCTTCTCCATGTTGCTTTTGGGTCTTGCTTTTAATAAGTACATCATCCAAATATGCTTGTGCACAATCCAAACTGGCAAGCATGGTACCCATTATCTGCTGGAATATGCTACCATTATACTGTTTGAATTTGTATAACCCTTTATGAGTGTTTATAATTTTGAGCTGTCTTCGTCCACTAGTACTTGTAGATAAATGTCTTTACAAAAAAATTTACCTCCATTCAATTTGGCAAAAATTTTGTCTGGACTTGGTAATGGGTAGTTATGTTGTTTTAAACTCTTATTTAACCCCGTTGAAAAATCAGCACACATGCAGATTTTATTATTCTTTTTTTTAACCTAGACTGTTGGTGATGCCCATTCGGAATAGTCTATGTTTGATATCACACTTAATTTTTCTAGTCTGTCCAATTCATTATTAACTGGATCTAATGCTCCAAAAGGTACACTCCTTTTTGGCTTAAATGTCAGTGTTACATTGTATTTTAACTCAAACTTAGCTTTTGCTTTCATGCATGTCCCTAGACCTTCTGAGCAAACTTCTGGAAAACCCTTTTTCAATTCATTCTTTAATCTTTCAGTTGCCGTATTAGCACCAAAGGTAACAATATTTACTTTGTTGCAAAAAGAGTTAAATGGAAGGCCCCAAAGATGAAATAATGCAATACAGTCTGTTCCAAATAAATTAAAAGTATTCTTTAATATAAACACCACCGCTTTCTTGGTTTTTTAATGAAAGAAATGTTACAGGTAAATTCACCCAAAAAGTTCAATCTCTTTCCTGAAACTCCATGTGCAACTTTATTAGAAGTCAATAAACTGGGTTTACCTATTTTTCTCTATGTCAATTCAACTATAATAGTGTTATCAGATCCTGTATCCAGTTGCAATTTTATTCTTACATCATTATTTTGCACAAAAACAAATTTCCTCTTTTGAGATGTCTTGTTAATTTCCCTTTTAGGCTTCTTATTGTTACTCCATGCATTTATCATGTTCATATACATTTTATTTTTTCTCAATTTCTTGTATCTGTAACATGTACTTTTGTGTCTTAATCTCCCACATGCATAATATTTTTTGTTCTTGAAAAAACAATCACTTTTAAAATGAACACCGCCACAACCATAACAATTATTAGGTATTGAGGTGGGGTTTATAGTCTTTTTCCTGTTCTATTAGTAGTTGAAAAACGTTTGTAGTTTTTTATCTTAGATGGTCGGACACTATGTACTTGTGAATTGTCTTTTGCCTCAATCCTTGTGGTATCAAGTTTCAAATTCATAATACATTGACATTCTTATGCTGTTTTCTGGAGAGTTAATTTAGAATCCATTTCTAATTTAGCAAGTATCCTGGATCTTATCTCCGCGTCCTTATTAGAAGTTAAACCCTGTACAAATATTAGGCATTTAAATAAATCAGTTAATTCATTTAACTTGAACTGCTCACATTCTTGGCTCATGACTCCTGCATAAGTGATAAAATCTTCATTGTCAGACCTTACTAAGTTAAGACATTGCCATCATATATTAAATAATGAGCTCCTATTACCAAAAAGTTTTGATAGTAAGAGAACAGTTTCATCCAAATTTATCTCTCCTGGTTCTTTTGGCAAAATTTAATTCACATAACGAAAGAAAAAAAAAGTTGGACGAAAGATGAAACAGAGTCAAAAAACAAACAAAATCAAATGTGAACGTGGAAAATTAAAGTCAATAAGCACAAAATAAACAAGAATTAAAATAATATGAAAAAGGGAAAATAAAACTGAAATAAAAACAGGAAGGGGTTAAAAACTTAACAAGAAAACAAACTTAAAGAAAACTAAACAAATGAAAACAGGTAAACACAAATAAAAAAAAAAATAAGAAATTTGAAAGTTTAACAAAATAAAAATAAATTTAACTTGGCTAACTTGGGCTGGACTGAAGCAAAAAAATCACATGTAACAACGGACTGAAATAGTGATACGAATATTACTAGAGGATAGACTAGAAATGCAGATCATTTAGACATCATGTGACTTCCTATATATGCATTTCCTCTATGGTCATGTGACCCACTTAATTCAATAATGTGATCGCCTCTGTCCAACTCAAACTCAAGTGACACTTTATTCCTATAAAACAATATATATATATATATATATATATATGTATATAAATAAAAAGAAAGAACAGTAAGATATAAAATCCGGTGTTCTTATAGATATTTTTATTTTTACAAAATAGTGCTCAATGTAAATTTACAGAGCATTAATATTATAAATTAATTGATTTAAAATATGGTTATATTTAATTGCAAAATTAAATTCGGGGTTTTTAGCTTCTATTTTTGAAACATGGTTGGAACTGTGTAGCGAAAAAAAACCATATTTTAAATCAATTAATTTATAATATATATATATATATATATATATTAAGTTGAATGGATATGAGTTTGAGTGTTTCATGCTTATGTGATCCTCAGACAAGTTTGTCTGAGGATTGCATAAGTGTGTAACCGACACTCACAAACTCATATCCATTCAACTAAATATATTAGCTCTATCATTGATATTAACCCCTTTCCAATAAGCACTGCACATATATAAAATATATATAGAATTTATATATATATATATATATATATTAGAGAATGAAAGAGACACAAATACAGGCAGACAAATATACTAATATAGCTTAATTAATACATAAAAGAAATAAAGAAGTGCAGCCCAATTAGACAGTTGACCAACTTATGTAAATATTCTTTATATCATAAGGTTCAGTAACTGTACAAAAACTATGTGCAAAAGTTCTCCGTGCCCTTAATACATACATATGTAGATGTGTGTGTGTGTGTGTGTTGGATAATTGCCTATTTTACAAGTACTCATGTGAAGAATGTAGTGTGATTATCTCATATCCTTACTGGAAAAGACCTGCAGCCATTACTATATATGCAGCCCTTAACTAATTTCAAATATAGGCTTAAATATTGACTCAGGAAAACCTATTCTCTGGAACTCTCTTTCAAGTATGTTGCTTTCATAAATTTAAATGCACCCTTAATCATCATCTTTCATCTCCTTCAATCTTGTTCTTTTATTTATCCTTTCTCCTCAGTAACCTCTTGTTTTTAAGTGGCTTTATTTGTTTTACTTGGGGTGAAATGATTAAAAAAAAAGAAATTTGCTAAGAAAAAGAGATTGGTAGAAAAGAGGGGTGGAATAAGCATAAAAAAGAGTGAAAGAAAGGAAAATGAAGAAAGGAGAAAAAAGAAGAAAAGGAATGAATGAAAAAAGAAAGAAAGGAAAGGAAAGAAAAAAGGAAAAGGAAAAAGAAAGGGAAAAGAAAGAAAGGAAAAAAAAAAAAAGGAAGGAAAAAAAGAAAGAAAGAAAAAAAAGCAAAAGGAAGAAAAAGAAAGGAAAAAAAAAAAAAAAAAAAGAAAGAAAGAAAAGAAAGAAAGAAAGAAAAAAAGGAAAATGGGAAAAGAAACAAGAAACAAAAAGAAAAGAAAGAAAGAAAGAAAGGAAAAGAAAGAAAGAAAAAAAGGAAGAATGGAAAGAAAAAAGAAAGAAAGAAAAAAGAAAGAAAGAAAAGAAAGAATGAAAGAAAGAAAGAAAAATGGAAGAATGGGAAGAAAGAAAGAAAGAAAGAAAGAATAAAAGGAAGAATGGGAGGAAGGACAAGGAAAGAAAGAAAGAAAGAAAGAAAGAAATAAAGAAAGAAAGAATGGGAGGAAGGACAAGTGAAAGAAAGAAAGAAAGAAAGAAAGAATAAAAGGAAGAATGGGAGGAAGGACAAATGAAAGAAAGAAAGAAAGGATAAAAAGGAAGAATGGGAGGAAGGACAAGTGAAAGAGAGAAAGAAAGAATGGAAGGAAGAAATGGGGAAAGGAAGAAAGAAATGATTCGATCCTGAATAGAATATATGTTGCGCTATACCTCTACATCTCTGAACTGGTCTAATTAAAATATGTAGAATGTCAGAACATTTGCCATGGAAATAGCAATAAATTCTTGAGAGGCTTTCAGTGATTCATCTCTAGGAAGGGGTCGGTAGGGTGGAAAATAATTCATCACCCACAATGACTCTTAGATGCTTTTGAACTTTGTCAAGGATAAAAAGTGAGGATTGTGCAGCTCCAACCCGGATTTTGATTGCAATACTTAATTTTTGGTCTAACTAGCAGCATGGACCAGCGTTGCCCATGCTTGATTCAAAAATCGTATGACTCATACATTTTATGGCATATCAACCTCAATGGGTTATTTAATGCCAACAAAATTTTTATTGCTGGTAATGTTTTTCTTCAAAAATCTATTTCTGAGAATATTTTTCCTTGAAGAAATCTATAGTTGGTAATATTTTTTCCAAAGAATGTATAGCTGTTTGTATTGCTGGTATTTTTTTTAAAGTATTGCTGATAATAATTTTTCCTTCAAAAATTATTGCTGGTAATTATTTTTTTTATTACAAAGTATTTCTGGTATTAAAACCTATTTTTACACAAGTTTGAGTGTTAACTATTTGCCCATAGCTGGAATCCTGACAGGTGCTACCACCCTGGTTCAGGGTGGACCTGGGCATACCAGCAATTAAGAGGTGGTTCCATGCCCCTGAAAACCGCCTGATCAGAGGCCTTGCTGCTGGATGTAGTTTATCGTCATACCAGGATGATTTATTTAATGGAGATATAAATGTATACCCAGTTGTCTTGAAGACAATGTTATTTTTCGAAATTGAACACAGAATGGTATTTAACTAATATGTAGGAGTGTTCCACTGATATCCCTCAAGACTTAAACCAATGAAGTGATGTGTATCATCAAACTGCCTAGCCTAAGGATTGAACTTACATCTCCAAGGAATCACTGGAACCAGTAACAGAAACTAATGGGTTTTATTGGCTTGGCTATACAAAAAACAACACCTGAAAAAAAGCCGAAAACAAAAAAGACAATCATGTTGGGCAAGAAACGTTATTGAATTATACAGAAGACTTTTAGAATTAATGTATTTTTCCAAATAACCCGAGGATGTTATATGCTTTTTGATATGAGTAAATGTCTTTCACTTGATGCTTATATACAGGGCGCGATGGTTAAATTGTCGCTATGTTATATTTTTAGTTTTGCACATGTGTGTTGTTTGTCTTTGATTTTGCTGACTGCAGAGTATAGTAGGGTCAGCTGGGCACCATCTGTGAGAAAAAGAGTATCATCATGCAAATCACTCCACCAAAAATTTGAAAACAGCATGCTGTATTGCTTGGCATTCATGCTGGAAGCTCCAATACGAACATTTCAGAGTATTTGAGCATCAATCTGAGGACTGTGCAGAGAATTCCTAAAGAGTTGGATGAGTCTAAGGATGATTACGAAGGTGTTGCCAGACATTGGGTCTTCCAGTAGCCACCCTCCTGAGCCAGAGCAGCACTACCTTCTAAAGGCACTTGAGGTAAGCCTCTGCATTGAGTTTGATGCTCTGTGGAAAGATGAATGGAGGCATGATGTTGCCATCACCAGTAATCACTCCAAACACTTTCATGATCACCATTAGACTCATTCAAATCTTTCTGAATCCTTCACACTGTCCTCACATTGACATCCAAACTCTTTGAAATGTTCCAGAATCTGTCTATTTCTGAGATGAGGTATTATGTACATTATTTACATTATTTGGACTATTGTCCTCATCTTTGTCACCATATTTATTACAACATTTCCTCAAGGACACATGGCACAGTGGATAAAGGCGTTGGTTAGATCCAGTGACATGACCCAAAGAGTGTGAGTTCAATACCCGGTTAAGACAGTGGAGAACTTTCAGAGGGAAATTAACAGGTGATAACTGATAACTGACTTCCATTAAACATGGCACATGGAACTAGAACAGTCTACCCCAGTGAGCGAAATAAAGAGTTCAGTTTGACATTCCAACCACCTGAAGAAGGCTGGAGTGTACAACGGCTGAAATGTTGTAATAAATATGGCAAGAAATATGAGGACAATAGACTGAATAATGTAAATAATGCTGGACCTTCCAGTGTGAATGCCAAGCAGTACAGCATGCTGTTTCCAAATTTCTGGCAGGGTAAATTGTGTTTTTTTCTCACTGACCTACACTGTGCAGTCAACAAAATCAAAAATAAACAACACACATGCAGAAAATTAAAAATATAAAATAGCGATAATTTATCCATCAAACACTGTTTATAGATTGATTGATAAATTTCTCTCTAGGTAGCTTAATGAAATTGGTTCTAAAATTACAAGGGTTTATTAATAAGGTTTCTGTTCTTATAGAATAAGTTTGAGCTCAGATAGAATAATAAAACTGGTATGAAAATCAAGGAAATTTATTTCTTTTCAAAATTACAAGGGCTAGTTAAGTAAGGTTACCAATCTTATATAAGAAGTTTAAGACCAGATAGAATAATGAAACTGGTATCAAAATGAAGTAATATTTTTTTATTTAGAATTATGATGGTTACTGTATATTATCTGTCATCTTGAATGCCTCACAATTTCCTCAAAAGATGGAGAAGAAACGTGCGGCAACAGTGATGTCCTTCTACAGCAGAAGTACTATTTTCTTTTCTAACTTATGTGCATTTGTATTTTTTGTAATGTAGCAACAGCTTGCTTTTGGCATTACATGCTTAAATATGCTAAAATATTTATTTCCCTGAATGTGTACTATTAGATTAAATAAATTGTTCAGTTCAGAATTCCCTGTCGGCTATCTGGATTGATATTCACCTGATAAATGCTAGAGGGCACAAAGATAGGGACAATAATGTGTATGTAAATAGCATAAATAATTGTTTGTATATATATATATATATATATATATATATATATATATATATATATATATATTATAATTTTTTTAAAATATGATTCCTTCTCTACATAAGAGTTCTCATGTTTCAAAAGCAAGAGCCAAAATCCTCAATATAATTATTAAAATTAAATTGAGTTAAAGTATCAAGCGCTGTTTCTTCCTCAAGCAAAAATTTAGGAATAACCAATCTTGAAATTTATGCATCTTTATAAGCATGTTCATTCATATTTAATTTTAATAATTATATTGAGGTTTATGGCTCTTGCTTTTGAGAACTCTTATGTAGCAAAGGAATCATATTTTTTACAAAATAATTATAATTTAAGCTCTACTTTATTAAAAATAAAAACAAAAATACAAAAGAACTCTGGATTATTTACCTAACGTGTTCTTTCCTATTTTTCTATATATTCACACACACACACACACACACACACACACACACATATATATATATATTGTGATGTTGGGCAGCTTTGCTTGTCACTTTTCACTTTTGCTATGTCAAGCAAAAGCTTGTTATCACTTCCAAAAATGCTTGTTATATTTGTATTGTAATGGAATATCCCAATCTCCCTATTATTTATTATGGACTGACTATATCAGTAGATATATATATAGTGTGCACAGGATATACCTGAGGAATTACTAGCTTGCTAACCGATTCCCTGTCTTTCAATAGTGTGTTCTCTTTTACAATAAACCTCTTTTTCTTTCATCTACACCAGTGTTGCTGTTCCTTTAATTTGTCTGTTTGTAACCTTCTATAAGGATACAACAATTTGAGACTTGGTAGATGCTAGAACTAGTAGTAGTACCTTTCAATAATATATAATAATTAATAAGTATTAATCACCAGATAGTATAATGATCAGAAGAGAATTGTAATCCGTATAGTAGTAGAGTAGAGAGAGTGAAATGTATAGCAATAGTGGATAATCAAGTGATCATATAGTCATCACGCTACTTCCTATTTATTCACTTCCTTTATGATCATGTCATCTACTTAATAATGAAATCACCCGTGTTACTCACTGGTGATCTAGTTTCAAACCACAGTATTGGCAACGACACTTAGTCTTATACAACAATATATATATATACAGCGTCTTCATTTAAAAGTGACAAGATGCAGATCAGAGTTAAAATACATTTTCAAAATAGAATCACATATTAAAGGATTAAAAAAATGGCATTTGGGTTTAATCAGAGAATATAATTTCCACAGGGAGTCCTCTAACCCACAACACAAACATTCCTGTGAAGAATGAGTCCTACTTTGTTTATTTCTTGTCTCAGTGAAAAAAAGGATGCAGACATGTTTGATAATTATGATTTTCAAATCTTTTTCTTCATACTTCAATTTAGTCAAAAGGATTACTAATGTATAAAGTATATCATATATAGGAGATACGATGGAGTAATGGATAGTGGCTTGGATTGAGGAATCGGAGAGCCAAGTTTGAATTCCAGCTGAATCCATTATATTCATGTGCTACTACCCTTGGGAAAGGCATGAATCCTCTTCTCCCTCTAGCTATGGGTAAATAGCAGGACAGGCTGAGTTCTATAGACTTGGATGGCAACTGGTCTAGGAGAAGGACAAATCTGAATTCAAAAACTGCAGAATGTTGTTTGGAGACCTTGTGGCATGTAGTGCACCAGGTCTCTTTATCTGGCCCTTCAAAAAGTATGGATGGTTCTAAACAAAACCTTCACCATTATAATCAAATCTCATGTGCTGGTGTCGGGCTGTCAGTTTTTAGGAACTGATCTGCTTGACACTCATACATTAAATTTGACTGGAGAGTCGAGTATATATATATATATATATATATATAACGTCATCCACAGACAGACTGTTTCGCTGTTTCACAGCTCATCAGTGTGGCTAGACATCCGGTTGCCTCTAGCTAGGATTGAAACCCGGCTGAATTGGTGTCAGTCGGAGATTCTAACCATTAAGCCATCGGCACACGGTCCAAATGTAATGAAAATGAAAATAATATATAAATTCTAACGTTCACAGCATTAATTCAAAAGAGAGCTCAATACTGATAGTAGACCAATAATTATTTATTATTATTTTTTCATATAGACAAAAACGTTTTATTCACTACAAACTTTAAATGCACTGAAATGAAGTTGCATCTTTGTAGTGAGTAAAATGTTTTTGTCTATATGAAAAAATTATAATAATTATATATATATATATATATTCGCACACACACACACACACACACATATATATATATATATGTATATACACACACACATATATATATATATACACACACACACACACACATATATGTATATATATATAATATCATCAATCTTATGCTTATATTGTTATCATTTTGTTGTCTTTATTTCTCAAGTTTCATTAACAGGCCTATTATATATACACACACACACACACACACACACATATATATGTTTTAAATATCTATCTCTCTATCTATCTATCTATATATATATATATATATATATATATATATATATTATATGACAGCCTGTTTGGAAAGAAAGTTCATTAAACATTGTCCTGATTGAAGGGGAGAAAAATCCAATTTCACATTCCAAGACAAATACAACATGACAAATAATGAAACGTAACTGAAATGCCTCTCACCAATCTTGTATATAATACGAGAAATTGTCTGCGTACAATTCCCCCAACATTACAATATTTTTTTTTTTCACTTTCCACTGTAAGGGTACTTACTAAGTGATTGTGATAACAAAGTTCAGACAGTCTCCTGATTAAATTTGAATGCAATATTCAAGCAGAATTCTTTGCTCGCCCCAAAGATGATTATTCCATGTTGGACAAATGTGCATGTTTGCCATTTTCATTCCTACAACATCTTCTCATTGTGAATCCCTGAAGCATGTTTCCTGGTCTCCCTAATTACTTCATTCGATCTGTTTAAAAAAAAAAGACAATTCCTCGCATGCAAGGAAATGCGCTTGGTGAAAGGGAAGACCTCGAATATACAACATGCTCTTTCTGCGTTAGTGAAAATTTTCCTGTGATGTTTCTCTTTTTTTTTTCCTTTTTGATTAACAAAAAATCCAAGGAGAAGGGCATTATCAAGGCCTTTTGAAATTAGCAAAGCACATTAAACAAGGATCAATGATCTTTAATCCTTATTAAAAATTATTCATATATTCATATAAATCATTTAAAACATCAGACATGAAAGAAATTCTTTTTAACTATCTGACATCAAAAGTTTTTAGCTGTCACAGACCTCTACTCCGGAGCTTAATTCATGACCACATCTAAAGACTATCGATCATTCAACAATAGTATATTGTTTCCTTTGATTTCTGTTGAATAATTTTTGCTTCCTGGGTTCCAATCAGAAACTTAAGGTCAGAAGTGGCATCATGACATTTTCCGATATACATTTACGTAAAAAAAAATACTACGAATGTATACTCATTTTACATTGATAAATCTCCTTAAAGGATGTGAGCTCTGCTTGTAAGAACAATTGTCTGTATTTCCTTAAGATCTGGGCCCCAATGAGTTTATCAGAAGCTTTGCCAATCAAATATTGGGCTCCAATTGCAAATGGAGTTATTGATGTCTTTATCTGTCACGTTTTTTAAATTTCCACTTCACAATTGTCTCTGATGTATACTTTTTTAATCATTTTTGAGCATTGATAAAATAGCATCCTCCACACAACAAAGGTCAAGGATGTATAGAAAAGGCCTCACTCTGGGAGAATGGCCTAGCTAAGATCCTTCTATTCCTTGAAAACAATTATAGTCTGTAAACACCTTAATAAGATCTGGTCTTTGATTATGATGTCTGTTTGGTTAATTTTGATTGTTCTGTCTGTATGTATATAAGTGTCCCATAATATTGTTACAGGTCCAAGGTCTGGGACTGAGTTTAGGTGCAGCTCATAACAATTTTTTGCAGTTTCCTTCACATAAATGTTGCAGATTTTCTAATGCCAATATTGAACAACACTGTCATTAATATTATTGTAGTATATGAAAAGTGCTTTTTTGCTGTTAGCAACACTTTATTTCGTTTTATACACTCTAATCTTCCTGTATTATTAATACAATTGTCTGTGATGAATGATAGATAGACTAGATAAATAATTGCTTTATTTGGAGATAGATATATAGATAGATAATCAACAGATGAGATAGATAGATAGACAGATAATGTCCTGGGAATGGATAGATAGATAGATAGATAGATAATCAACAGACTGGTAGATAGTTAGATAGATAGATAGATAGGAGATAGATAGATCGATAGATGAATAGATAATCAACAGACTGAGATAGATAGATAGATAGATAGATATCTAGATAGATAGATAGATAGATGAATAGATAGATAGATGACATTACCCAGAACTAAAAGCTGTGGGAGGACCAATAATACATAAAGATCCAGTACTCTTCTTCGTTTCAAATTAAATTTTCCTGTTTCTTAATACTTTGGCTTAGCTTTTGAAAGGTAACTTTCTATTTTCCAATGCAACTTTGAATTTCCATGTCCCTCTAATCCATTCTCTGTTAAAATACTTCTGAGATGTTTTAAATTTTGGTATTTTGGCTTCCAAATATCCTTCTTGGGGGCTTTTCTCTTGTTGATTCTCTATATTTACAATTGATATTTACCATTCTTACTTTCATTTACTACCTTCTGCTGTAGTTTCCTTTCTGTGTCTGTATCAACACTGGTCTGCACATCTTGTGATTAAGATGATGACTTTAGGACCCTAATTCTCTCAGGATCACTTCATGGTAAAGGTTGAATCAAGTCCAGTCCTCGTCTTAAGTTTCTACAAGGTAACAAAAAGTCTTTGCTGTTTTTGATTTATTAAAAAAAAAAAAAAATTATGCAGCAAATTTAACCAGTTAATTCCAGATACAGGATACATAATTTTGTGATGGGTCTAAAATCAGATGTGAGTCCTCTAGTTTGGGAACGATTCACAATGGGTTCTATTGGTGTTAGTGGTGAAACACTGTGTCTTTCACAATTGATGGTACCCCTGACTATCTCCAGCACATGTCACGTTGTGATGTAACAGTACACCCTTACAATTAACCAATGATGGCCCATTCTGCTTCAGTACTTTTTTCAACTCAATGGTTATGAGTTAGTAGCATTTGATCCAATACAGAGCATAATGGCTATGTTCTGTGGTGAAAACCAATTGATGAAAAAAGGATCCACTTTTCATCAATGGTGAGTGAGCATTTGATCAAATATGGCTATGTTGTGGTGTTGAAAAAGCAATGAGCGTCAGGGTGTCACTCATTGTTGCTTGAAGGCTTCCGACACTGTGTGGGGTACCCACTTACTCTACTTGTATACCTTCCCTATTTGATGCAGGTGAAGTATGACTGTTTCATCAGAAACGTAGAAGCATCTGGCAAGCTTATCACAGGTTTGGCTATTATCCTCCTCTAAGGTTGCCTAGAGGGCTTCATCATCATCCAGGACCTGTGGCCAGCCACTGTGGGATTCATCTGGACTTCTGGAAAAAGTGCTTTCACTCACAGCATTATCCCAAAAGACTTGACATATTCAGCAACTTCAGCTACTGACAAACCCACCTTAAATACACAAAGCTGACAGCCTCAAATGAGCCACTTTGACACCACCATGTCTCCTCGCTGTTGCTTGAACTGTGGCTGATGTGTATGTGCAGTGCACCTGCATTGGCCATTAGCAATGTTCGCACCTAACCCTCAACGCTCTTCCAGCACATGATGTACTCATTAGTGTATCAGTTATCACATTTTTTCCCATATGATGTAAAAAAAATGGTAAGGACTTTTTTTGGTTACCTTATATTTTTGTGCATTTGGAACAATAAAAAAGGAAGATGTGGAGAGCTATTTATTTTAAGATTTAAAATTCACTCCCAATTTCTCCCAAAAATGCCATAGAAACTAAGTAAAAAAATTCAAAACAAAGAATGTATCAATAATTATGTTTAAAAATATGATTCCTTCGCTACATAAGAGTTCTCATGTTTCAAAAACGAGAGCTGAAATCATACAAATAATTATTAAAATTAAATTGAATTGAGATGTTTAGTCTTGTTTCATCTTCAAGCGAAATTTTAGGAATAAGCTATCTTTTGGTTTACGTGTGTTTTTAGGCATGGTTCTTCATAACATTCGTTATTGTGGGGGTAGCTAGGCTCTTTTTTTTTGTTGTTGTTGTTGTGTGTAACTAATGCACGGCCACAATTTTCGACAGATTTGCACCAAAATTTACATGCACGAGTTTGCGAAAATGCCAAGACCAACTTTGCATTTCCCAACTCCCATCGATAGTGGAAATAATCGATTTTTTCATGCTTCTACAGCACTTTTCATGTAGTTTGTGGCCATTTTCTACTGGCCAGAGTAAGAGCCTATAGATGACTGCCACGAATAGGCAGGAAGATTCTATTGGCTAGCGTGAGAGCCAACAGCTGACTGACATGAATGTTAACTAGCTGGCTAGCATGCCAAAAAAAATTGAGAGCTGCATTCGTCTACAAGTGGGAAAAATTTAAATCTGCATGGCACTTTACTCCAATTGGCTCATTAAGCTTGCTTAAACTCAACGTTGATTCTGATTCCGAGAACTGGGTTGGCTGTGAAAAAAGTATTTGTTGTTAACATTCTTTTTTCATTCGGTTTTTCCAGTTATGAGTCTTTTTTTAAAGATGATCATTTTGTTTTCATTTTGTTTAGTTCTTTTTTCGTAACAGATTTAATGTTTAGAAAAAATTTGCAGTGTGAGATAGGCAAGAAGTAAGATATGTAGCAACATCAGCATGGCAAAGGGCACTCCTTTAAAGGCAAGGAAGGGCAAAAATATTTTAAGACAAGTGATAGTGATTGCTGTATGAGTTGTATGATTTTTGAATCAAGAATGGGCAACGCCGGGCCATGCTGCTAGTATATATATATATATATATATATATATATATATATATTTTTAATTATTTATTAAGCTTTATTTTATCAAGTGCCAAGTCACAAGTTCAGGGACCCTAGTAAGGAACAAAGTCAGTAAGTATTAGTAACAAGGGCCCTAGCCATTAGTATCCAGCAAAGTACTGTTATTCTCTTTTATATACTTTCATTTATTGAAAAACAAATTCTTTTTCAGTGTTCAGCATCATGTGCTTATGGCTTCCAGAGGAGGAAAGTGAAGTGTCCTCGAAGCCGACAATGTGATCTTAGTAAACGACCATCAGAAACTCAGAGATGTCATGAAAAGCCTTGTCCTTCAAAGTGGGTGACCGGAGCTTGGTCAAAGGTGAGTGTCAACTATTCCATTTGCTTTTCTGCCCATCCACTTGAATTGAAGATATTTAAAGAAATTATGCAATGCCTTCTCTCCAGACAGTTCTGCACATTACTATGGACATGAAACGATCTTTGTGCATCAGAAAGCAATTTTGAAGATAACTATTGAAGTCAACCACCAGAAAATATATTTAACCCTTTCCCCCAGTGTTAACGTTTATAGTGATTTTCCAAGCATAGATGTGGCACAAGGCCGAAAGTAGGGTGTACCCAGTGAGAATCAAACTCGCTACTCAGTCGTAATTGTTTTAGCAAGACAAGCTTGTTAACCATTACACGCCTCAAGTTGCCCAAAGAAGCAATATATAGTGATTTTCGAATTGTAACTTAGATGTGGCACAAGGCTGAAAGTAGATTGTTGTTGTAGAGTAGTTTTCATAGTGGAGGCTTGTATTTCACTGAGTTGGTCCTAAAAAAAGGGTTCGACATACAAAACGTTAGGAACTTGAAATAATAGTTAATGACGCAGCAATCTAGTTGTGGTGGTTGATACTTTAATGTCCGACATTGACTGACTCGACCAGCTCACTCTGAGCCCCCTGGTGACTGCTACTACTACTACTTATTATATCTGGGAGAGTCTATTTACAATAGAATAGGTATGTTCTAGTATAACAGGTGTACCTGGTGAGAATCAAACTCACTACTCAGTTGTAATTGTTCTAGCGAGACAAGCTTGCTAACCATTACACTGCCTCAAGGTGCCCTAGTGTTGACGTTTATATACATTTTTATTGAAAGTGTCCTTTTCAGGAACGGACAAATAAACATAAAATTCAAAAATCGACTACAGACGTGTTTATACATCGATCTTGATTCTTTTTATGACTTCTGAACTTGTAATGAGTCCAATTGTCAACTCGTATGTCTGGTAGAGTTGTTAGGCACCATTTGGGTACATTAAGGTGCCTTAGTTTAAAATTTTGTCTTAAAATGAAACGTTTTTCCCAAAATAATTGACGGAGAAAGGGTTAAAATTAAAGAAATGGCACTGATAAATAGAAGTGTCAGTTTTCTCCTTATCAGCAAAGCAATGTTGTTTATTACGATTCCTTTCACCCTGTTATCTATGAATTAATATCATTTATTTGATGTAATTTTACAAGCAGAGAATTGTTTTGCCAGTAAGGTTTTTATTTACAATAGCTCCAATTCAACAATCTCCTCTGAGTTAGATTGTTCGAGGTGAACAATAACTGATCAGAGAATTCTCCCTTGTGGATTAAATCATTCATTTGGGAATAGGGTGACATAGTAATTGTTAGTTCAATCCATGGACATGGCGGAAACAGAGTAAGCAATAACAGAGCAGTATTAAAAATGAGAACTAGATGAGATATCTCTAAACATAGGCAGTGGAACGAGAACTGTCTATCCCCATAGATTCATTTTTTCTTGTCAGAACCTATCTTACATATTTATAAGTCTACCACTCATCCATATCTTGAATATTGATGCAATATATGGTCTTGTGCTCCTGCTATAAATTTAGAGATACCTGATAAAATCCAAAGTAGAATCGGCAATGTTATTGGTCCTGACCTGGCATCTCACCTTCAGTCACTTTCTCACTGTTGTAATTTAGCATTCCCATGCCTTTTTTATAAATATTTTCAGGGTAATTGTTGTGATGAACTTACCTCTATGGTACATAGACTTTATGAATTTAAACGCAGTAATAGATTGATGGCAAGGTCTCATCATTTTACAGTTGAAATGGCTAGATGTAACCGTAAGTTCTATGCTGACTCTTTCTTTTCACTTTTGAAACTGTCTTCTGGCTTCTTGCTTCCTGGTCAGCTTTGATCTTCAAAAATCCAATGTCAGTCATTATCTACTGTCTTCATTGTTGTTCTTTTATTATCCTTTCTCCTTAATAGTAATTTCTGTTATATTCTTTAACACTGTAATGTCTTGCATCCTAGTGTCTTCATTGCCTTGCTTGAGATGAAATGATTAAAAAAAAGAAAAGAATGAGTTGGAAAATTCTGAATTCAAATCCATGAAGACAAAAAATTATTCTCCTCTCTTTCAAGAAACAAAAATGGTAGGAGACAGACATGGTAATAGTGAGATTTCAGGAAAATAGATTTCTCGAGTCTAGTCGTTGTTGTTGCTCTTTCCATGATTGATGGGAGTTTTTTCTTAACTGTTTATTTGAAGTTGTGTGGAATGTCAGCATCTAGATTATGTCATTATTTTCTCTTTATATATTTTTAATATATAAATTCTTTTTCTTAAAACAATTTTGTTCAGGAAAATAGGTTTCTCAAGTCCAATAGTTGATGTTGCTCTTTCCAGTATTGATGGGAATTTTCTTTCTTAACCTTTTGTTTGAAGTATTGTGGAATGTTGACATCTTGATCGTGTCATTATTTTCTCTTTGAGTTACATATACTATTCCTTTTCATTGTTGCTGCTGTTGTAATTCTTCAAATGATGTGGTTTCTCTTATTTGGCACAGTTTTTTTTGTGGTTTTTCTTTTACAATATCAAATTCTCCCAGTCTACTTTTACCATTATGTGTCTTAGAGATTTTAACTGTCTTTCTGATTTTAAGTATAAGCTTCCACTTTCCTTAAAACACTGTCATTGCTCAGATGTTTGGTCCATGGCATTCTTTATGTAGAACTACATTTATGTTGCCTCGTTCCTTCTTCATGTCGAAAGACATTACCATACAGAAGGACTGACATTAAATAGCAGTTGAGAACTCTTTTCTTAGTTTCTAACAGAATTATCCAGTTTCTTAATACTTTGCTTAACTTTTGGAAGGCATCTTTTGCTATTCCATTGTGCCTTCTAATTTTGGTGTCACATTTTCTGTCCTCTGTTAAAGGATTTTCCAGATCTTTACACTTATATACTTGATTTTGATGTCTCCACTTTGCAACTTGCATCTTGGGCTCTTTCTCTTGCTGACAACCATACATTCTCTATTTTTACTCTCACTTTCGTTTACTTCCTTGTTTGAGAGTTCCTATGACTTTTTGGCTTGGTCTAAATTTTTTGGATATTGGAAAAATTCCCAAAGTCTATTCTGGTGAAATTCTGCATGCAAAATTTCCATTCTGTCTGTTGTTTCTGCAACTGTTAAAATTAGCAATAAAAATATAAGAAACATTTAGTTGCCTTGGAGAGCTATTTGGATTTTGGAAGACGTTTTAAAGATTTTGCTGTATTTTTACAATAAGCAAAAATTTTACATTGCTAAATTTAAAATGAAATATTTTAAGCATAAAGCTTTTTGCCCGAGGATTAAATAAAAAATACTGACAAAATATTGAGAAGCATTTTTATTTTATGAATTTTTTGTGAAACACTAATGTTTCCAAATTTTATCAACAAAATCTCATTTAATGTTTTCTGCTATGATAAAAATATATTATGCAGTTGTAATTGAATTTTTAAAGCAGAAAATTAAGAAGATAGTGACATGACTGTTAAAATACAATTGATTATTTAAAATAAAGAAGCAAGCAGTTATATTTTTCATATTTTTAGTTTAATTTGATCTTTTGCTATGAAAATAAATCAATATTATTATAATGGTTTTTTTTCTCTCTAGAGTCTATCTTACATATCTATAAATCTACCATTCATCCATGCTTGCAATATTTCTGCTAGATATGGCCTGGTGCTCCTGCTATCTATCTAGAACTCCTTGATAAAATCCAAAGAAGAATCAGCAATATTATATGCCTCAATCTAGCATCTCAGCTTCAGTCACTTCACCACTGCTGTCAAGTTACTTTCGTAGCAACTTTTCAGATGAGCTCTTCAATATGGTGGCTAGACTCTTTGAACTTAAGTGCAGTACTAGACGGACAGCAAAGTGCTAGCTAGATGAAACCAAAAATACTATGCTAACAGATTATTTTCTCACACTTTACACTTCTGGAAATCCATTCCAGCTCCATGCTTTCCAGCCAACTTTAATCTGCAAAAAATTTGAATGCATTCTTCCTGATTTTCACTTCTTAGCAATGTTTCTTTTTCTAACTGGTGGATTTACTACCTTGCTTGGGGTGAACTCCTTATTGGTTATTAAGGAATTTATTTTAAATGCTAAAGTTTATATATATATATATATATATATATATATATATATATATGTGAAAATCGTGCAAAACAGGAAACCCAGGGTCACAAACTCATATCAATCCAACCAAATATATATATATATATATATATATATATATATATACATATGCCTACCTGTATCTGTCCTGTTGTGTCATTCATTCGGTCAGTTGAAATGGCTGTGTTAAACAAATCTGCCACATCCAAAGGAATGCTGATCGAACTTAGTAGAATATTAAGTCAGATGTGAAGATCCATAGTAAGAGTTTCAGTGAGAATTTGGATTCACAAGTTGTCCCCAGCCATATGTATACACTTTTTTTAGGATAGTGTGACTCGGTTTGAATTCAGAGTTGTCCTTCTCCCAGACTGGTTGCCACCGAAAACTATAGGACTCAGTCTCTCCTCCTATTTTACCCATAGGATGTCTTCTAGTATGATAAAAATATTTAACATCTGACAACAGTTGAGTATGTGAAATGTGCACAGCACCTACAATAGAAAACCCCAAAGACTAGATGTTATATATATATATATATATATATATATATATATATATATATATATATATATATATATATATATATTTATATACATATATATATATATATATACAAACACACACACACATATATATATATATGTATATAAATGAGTATAAATATAGACAAAATAGATATAGATAAATATATATATATAGTTAAATAATGAAAAGGCGGAGATAGATAGATAGATAGATAGATAGATAGATAGATGACACTGCCAAGCACTAAAAGCTGTATGGGAGGACCAATAATACATAACGATCCAGTACTTTTCTTTGTTTCAAATTAAATTTTCCTGTTTCTTAATACTTTACTTAGCTTTTGAAAGGTAACTTTCACTTTTCCAATGCAACTTTGAATTTCCATGTCCTCTAATCCTTCCTCTGTTAAAATACTTCGAAGATGTTTAAATTTTGGTATTTTGTTATCTTCAATTTGAAATATCCTTCTTGGGGCTTTTCTCTTGCTGACAACAATACATTCTCTATATTTACAATCGATATTTAGTCATTTCTTCTCATTTTTCTGTAGTTTTCTTTCTGTGTCTGCTATCAACAAACAGATTAATATATAGATATAGATAAATATATTATTTATCTATATATATTATCTCTCTATCTCTCTATCGCTCTCTCTCTCTATATATATATAAATGAGTCTCCTCTCTCCTTCATGTGCATGTGTACTCTCATCAACATAAGTATCACTTTAGTTTGATGAAATCCTAAATGATTAAGTGCTTCATACAAAATGTTTTTCCCCATTTTAGGACAGATTTTCCTAAAATTCTCTATGATATATAATATATCATGATTGATCTTAATATACAATATCTATCATTTTTTCCATATATATCTCTTTCTATCATGCAGTTGGTTCCTGTTTTCCTTAAAGACTTCCTTATTAGTCACAAGCTTTATCTATGGTATTCTCAGCATAATTATTTAAAACAACCTTTCTGTTGTCTCAAGTCTCTTCTTCATCTGTGAGGACATTGTCCAGCATTTGCTGCCTTAGAGAAGGAATGACATTGCATAGCATTTAGGAACTCTTTTCTAAATTTTTTCCCAAATTCTCCAGTGTGCCTTCCAATTTAGGTGTTGCATTTTCTGTACTTTATCAAAACACTTACTAGATGTCTACACTTTCATATATATATATATATAAGCAATCTTCATGTGTATGTGTGTCCACTTCAACATAAATATCACTTTTGGTCAGAGGATGACAACCTTTTGGAGAGAGTAGGCCAGAACTCTGGTCAGTATCATGGTGAAGGTCCATGATGCCAAATATATTATAATAAATTCTCAGCCTCAGACTGCTCCCTCCAGAATGATGCCTTTGTCAGGAGGTTTAAAGAAAAAACAATGAAGTTAATGTCATATTATTTAAATGAGGTTCCAGATTTTACTGCAGGAATAACAGGATAAAACTAATGCAATAAAGAAAAACATGCAAATTCCTTACTACAGATGAATCACAGATAGAATTGGCAAATTTTTAATGAGGCACTTGTTTCTACTTATCGTTCGATAGTTTCTCCACATCAGCTGAAATATTTGTTGGTGACGGGAGTGAAACAAGATCCAGGTGGTCATCACCCAAACTTGTTCTTAAATAACTTTTAGTATATTTCATTGCCAAAAAAAAAACGTTGTTCACAAGAATATGCACTTCCAATTAATGATTCCATCATGTTCACATTATTCAATAGGCCTTTATATTTTCTGCTTGGCAAAACATTTCTTGCAGAAGTCAGCGGTGGGCCAGTGATTAAATTTTGATTTAAAAAAATCTGTTGCATTATAAGTTGATTAACTCCAACTGATATTCTTCTGCCACTTGCTCCACAAATTGATTAAATAATTAGTGTCTAGTTGTTAAATTGGTGGGATAGACAAAATCATTTGTCGGCTGGATGTGGACCGCAAGTTGCAAAACCCTGCTTTACATCAATGAAATCCTAAAGGATGAAACATACAAAATTTTTTTTCCATTTTGTCACAGATTTTTTCAAAAAATCTTGATATATAAAAATGTATATATCGTTTTTCTATATATGAGTGTATGTAATTATAAATAATTAAAGTAAAATGGTTCACTTTATTTCAAATTTTTTATCAATTTCTGGGAGTTAGGATATATAAACAGTCCCAGGCCTCTTGTGTAAAATGTTGACCTTACATTCTCATCAGCAATGTCTGGGATACTACCCAACTCAGTTGGTTGTTTATATAACTATCTCTGTCATGCAGTTGGTTCCCGTGTTTGTAAAATCAGGTGCAGCTCTGAATTTATGTGATTCTTAATCAAGCATCTCAGGCTAACTCTGCATCTGGCTTCCCATGATTAAATGGAATGATATTAAGTGCAACTTCTATTCTGGCAGGATACTGCACCAGCAATAAAGACTTTATCAAATTAACCTCTAAGCAAGGGAGTAAAGCCACTAAGACGCAAGAAGTTACAAGGTGTGGAAGAACTAGAAGACAGAAATATTATTAAGGAATGAGAACAATAGAAGAGTAATCAGAAAAACAGTAGATAGCAATTGACATTGCATTTCCATTTTTGACAATCAAACTTGGCCAGAAATCATAGAGCCAGAGTGCATGAAAAGACTTCGCTTAAATTCCTAAAGTCTTGGCATCATAGCAAACAGTTCATCTGAACAATTACAATGAAAGTATTTATTAAAAAAAGTCACAAGAAAGCAACTTTATTGTTGTGGGATGAAGTTTTACTGAAGTCGAGATGCCAGGCCAGGACTAGTAATATTGCTGATTCTTCTTTGGATTTTTTCAAGAATCTCTAAATGTATAGCATGATCACTGAATTGTATGTGGCAGCAATATTCTAAGCACTGGCAAATGATAGACTTATAGATATGTAAGATAGATTATGGAGAGAAAAATTGTCTTGCATGACACAGTGAGCCAACATTTTTAGCAGCTAACCTAGCAATGGCTTCAATTATCAAGGATCCCTAAATGTATGGCAGGAATACCAGACCATATGTGGCAGCAATATTCTAAGCATTGGTAATTGGTAGACTTAGAGATATGCAAGATAGATTCTGGAGAGAAAAATTGGCTACCATGACAGTGAACCAACTTTCCTAGCAGCTTTAAAAAAAATTTTTTCTTTAATTTCAGTGTACCAAAACTTGCGGGACAGGAGATCAAATACGTCTTGTTCAATGCGTGGATATTTCTACACGGCAACCAACCAATCGATGCAAAAAAGCTGAAAAACCAATTATTCGCAAGAAATGTCAGACACAACATTGTCCAAGGATAAAAAAAAGTAAGTTTGTCAGTATCTTATTACCTCTTCCATAATGGAATGTGTAAATGGGTATTTTTTAAAAGCCCAATTGAAAAATCTGTTAATAGTTCATATCACATTATATCAGAGAGACAAGATTAATAGTAAAATGTGTTCATAGGTAGTATAGTGGTTATCAGCACAATAAATGGAGACAGCATGCTGAGTTCAAATTCCAGCCTTTGTACTAAAATAATCTTCAGAAAGATATGAAACCATTTCCTCTCACCTCAGCTTTAGCCTTGTGTGGCAGCCAGTCTAGTAGAAATATACTCTAAATTCAAAGCTGTGGAGAAGACAAGGGAAAATATTCCTGCTGTATTTATGCTGTAGTTATGGTAATTCAAAGAAAATAAAGAAAAGAACCGGTGAAGAGTAGTAGGTGCTTACTTTCTAAAAAGACTTTTTAAGTATATGTTTGTAGTTTAATGATTAGAAGTTTGGGAATTAGAATTGGCAAAGTGAGTTCAAATTCATCTCCTGCCCCAACAAGGCGTTAAATCCTATATATATTTTTCGACCAATAAAATCCCATCTGAAAATTTCTTTGATAAATGATAATTACTAGGGCAAATACCACCAAAATACTTGTGGATGTAGTGGTAGACCTACCACATGTTATATTTGGACTATTTAGAAAATAACAATAATAACTCTCTTCACCACTCCTACAAATTTGAGATAAAGCTTTTCATGAGCCAGAGTTAAATTACTAATTTTCTTACTAATGAAAACCTTGTATTTAATGTCTGTGCTTTTTGATACTAAAAATATTTTCATCACAAATATATTCATTAAAATTGAGGTTAGTATTTCTATAATCTCATGAGTTATTTTTTTTTTTTGAATTATAAAAAAAAGAAATAAATTGATTGATTTGAATTTTTTACAGCCTATCAACCTTATGCATGTTATTTAAAGCCAGAAAATATTTTTAGATTGTAAGGTATTTTGGGGGATTATAATGATTTACTGATACAAATCTTATTAATTTATTAGTGGTGGGAGAGGAGGTGGATTCATACCTTTCCGAAGTATATTTGCATAATATAACGAATCCAACTGGAAATTGAACTTGCTTCTGTGATTTTCAATTCCAAGCCATTAAGCATTACACCACCTGCACACCCAAGCTTATAGCACCTGATATTCTCAAGTGGTCATCCATCTTGGTACTGACCAAAAATAAATAAACAAATAATTCACACTCAAACGTTTTTGGTGACTGAGGAGAAAATTTAACGCAATTTTTTTTTCTAATAAAACAATTATTCTTGTTTGTGTGAGAAAAAAAATCGCTTTTTGACAAAGTGCAATTAGTAATTTTTCACAATTTGCAACATAAAGCCATAATTATAATTAAAAAAAGAAAAGATTAATTTTTTTTTTTTTTTCAATGAAAAAATATTTTTTCTTCCTGTTTTCTCAATATTTTTTATTTAACTTTTTTTCCATTATGAATAATCAACCAAATTTCTTTAGAAGCTGTTTTATATGAATTTTATAAAATGAATATTTGTAATCAGGTCAAAAAAAGGGGCATGTTAATTCATGGAAGCTATTCTTATGAATGCAAACCAAAAAAAATTCTCATAATATTTAAATCACAAAAATAGCTTTAGACAATTTTGCAAGTACATGTTGGTTCAGAAATAATCTGCTCGTGAGGTACTTGCTTTAGACTTATTGGTTCATAAAGGACATTTTTGTGGGTTACTTGTTTAAGATTTGTTGTTTCCACAATGACTTTTACTGAGGTACTTGTTTTGGACATGTTGGTTCATAAATTACCTTTTAGTGAGGTATTTGATTTTGACATGTTGATTCATAAATGACATGTTTTCTGTGGTTATTGTTTTAGACATGTTGGTTCATTAATTAACTTTTAGTGAGGTATTTGATTTAGACATGGTGGTTTGTGATTGACCTTATATGATGTCCTTGTTTTAGGCTTGTTGGTTCATAATGAACATTTTTAGTGGGGTATTATTTAAGAATGGCTGGTTCATAATGGTGTAGTACTTGTTTTATACATGTTGCTTCATAAGTAAACTGTTTATGAAGTACTTGCTTTAGACGCATTGGTTCATGAATGACAATTTTGTGGGGTACTTTTTTTAGACATATTGGTTAATGAATGATATTTTGGGAGGTACTTGTTTAGGATACATTGATTCATAATTGACCTTTTGTAAGGTACTTGCTACGTGATACATGACTTTTTGGGAGGTATTACTTTATACTTATTGGTTCAGAAAGGTAATTTTTGGGGGGTGAGTGGGTACTTTTAGACGTTGGTTCATAATTGACCTTTTTATGAGGCACTTTCTTTAGATTTGTTGGTTTATTTTGGTGGGGTACTTCTTTAAGACAGGCTGGTTCGTAAAGGGCTTTTAGTGCAGTACTTATTTTAGACATGTTGGTTCATAAGTGACCCTTTTATGAGGTACTTTATCTTTAATCATGGCTCTCCACAACGTCTATGTGTTTTCTTGCTACTAGTAGTTTATTATGTGTCTATATTTCTGAGATGAGGTATTATGTACATTATTTACATTATTCGGACTATTGTCCTCATCTTTGTCACCATATTTATTACAACGTTTTGGCTATTGTACGCTCCGGCCTTCTTTAGGTGGTTGGAATGTTGAACTTAACCCTTGTTCTCAAGGACACATAGCACAGTGGATAAAGGCGTTGGTAGATCCAGTGACATGACCCAAAGAGTGTGAGTTCAATACCCGGTTAAGGCAGTGGAGAACATTCAGAGGGAAATTAACAGGAGATAACTGATAACTGACATCCATTAAATATGGCGCCTGTAACTAGAACAGTCTACCCCAGTGAGCAAAATAAAGGGTTCAGTTCAACATTCTAACCAACTGAAGAAGGCCGGAGTGTACAACGGCCAAAACATTGTAATAAATATGGTGACAAAGATGAGGACAATAGTCTGAATAATGTAAATAATGTAGTAGTTTATTCTCCTTTATGACACCACTTTCTAGTTGTTTCCACTCTTGAATATAAAATAAACATCCTCTATGAAGTATTTCAAGAAATAGGACTCAAATTAAACTTTTCCAGAACAGAAACTTTGATCTGTAATAGAAATGAAAGTATTGATGGTACATATCCTGAATCTATTATAAAAATTCAGAATGAGAAATTAATAAATAAGAAGCACATCAAATACCCATGTGTATAGATAATGTTTAACAAATTTATTACAGGGGATAAGGAAATTCAACATAGGCTGTACTATTAGTTTTGTTCAGCACTTCAAGTTGCTAGAAAACCAAAGTGTTATTCTTCTGTAATTATTTTCATGGTAACTGTTTTGATGAACATTCCTCTTTGGTAGTCCTGGGTATGATGATAAAATACAACTTGCAGTAAGGCCTCTGATTGGGAGATTAGAGATTTTGAGGTGTGTGGAACCATCTCTTAATTACTGTGGTTTCATTGTCCACCCTGACCTGAGCTAGTAGTAAATAGTGAACACCCACAAAAAATCAATAGTATATTTTTATAATAAAATTACCAATGATACATTTTTATGATAAAATTACCAATGATTCATTTTTATGATAAAATTATTGACAATACATTTTTATGATAAAATTACCAACAATACATTTTTATGATAAAATTACCAATGATTCATTTTTATGATAAAATTATTGACAATACATTTTTATGATAAAATTACCAACAATACATTTTTATGATAAAATTACCAACGATATATTTTTAAAATAAAATTATCAACAATTCATTTTTATAATAAAGTGAAAATCAATACAACACCAAAAAAAGTATAAAAATAGATTTTCAATATAAAATTACCAACAATAATTTTTTTTATGAAATTACTAACAATATATTTTTTTAAAAATTACCAAAAAATCTACAAACTATATATCTAAAAAAGACATGTTTACTTTGAAAATATAAAATTACATACAAAATACTTTGATTTTGGCATAAAATAACCGATAAAGGTTGATATGCTCTTAAACAAAATCAACCAAAAAGCCCAATCCCAAATTATGTGCTGTGTCCTATCAGGGCATAGGCGGTCATGACTCTCCACTTCCCCCTATCCCTTGTGGCTCTCAATAAGTTTCCTGCCTCTGCCAACTCCCCCAGACCATGTTCTACCATCCACTTGCTTAAGCCTTCCAGGTACCTAAGCTTAATATCTTGTTTACTTAAAAAAAATAGAAGAATTATTATGAGTGATTATGGAAGAAAGCAATATTCTACCAGTGTGAATTTTCCCCATTATTGGTATTATCATGGATGGATGGATGGATGATTACTCATATCCGAGGATTACCTTCTACTAAAGCATCTAGCTAATCCCTTTTGCAGATACCTGCTCAGGCATTTTGTATTTATTCAACACCAACAGAGCCCACCTATGGTTTATACTGCAACTATGCTGAATGGATCTTAATTACAGTTTCTGGAGGAGAGTGCATTATCTGGCATGATCAACAGTCTAAATAAGGCCAACACACTCAGACCGTCAGTCATGATAACTTTTGACTTTGTGAGACCATAACCAATGATGGCTTCCCTGGCTGAGTGGTTAGAATGTTTGCTTTCAGACCATGAGACTCGAGTTCGAATTTCAGTATGGTCAATTTGTTGGGAGGTGATGTCTTGATGTTATCAGTCTGGAGGAGGTGATCGTTTGGCATTATTATATCCACGATAGTAACATCTTATTTCACAGATGGGTATGGAATTGCTAAAAGAAAAGGAATGACAAATATACTTTGTTCTCAGAGAGACTTTTATGCCACAAAGTCATACACAAAATTCACAGAAATGTTGTTCTACAGGATGCTAAGAATATGATGGAACGAACATGTGAGCAACAACAAAGTTCTAGAGACAATGGTGATGAAAAAGACACTTATACTTAACATCAGGAAGAGATTGTTGAGATTTCTGTGATGCATAATGAG